TTATTTCAGACTTTTCTGAGGAATACTTACAACGAGTCTATAAAGAAGTCCGGAATTTAGGAGCCGTTCGTTCAGAATATTGTGTTCAGTATTACAACTCATGGCCTGAAGACAAACACCTCTACATTCAGATGGAGTTCTGTTCACAGAATCTGCGGAATATTGTTGAAGTGAAACCACAAGTATTTGGTCGACAATCAGGAGAAGCCATGGATTGTGTCGAGTATTTCATTTCGTGTGAAATATTGCGACAAATCTTAGAAAGTGTTCAGTATTTGCATGAATTGAATCCACAGATCATTCACAGAGACCTCAAACCCGAAAATATATTAATTGCTGAAAATGAAAGGAACGGTAGGTTTATTAAGTTATGTGACTTTGGTTTGGCTGTCGAGCACCAGAGAGTGTCTCAGAGTCACTCCAAACATAAGGGAACTCCTAAATATATGGCCCCAGATTTGGATCAATCAAAGTATACGACAAAAGCAGACATTTATAGTTTGGGAATACTTTCGATGGAATTGTTTGATATTATATTAGAGTAAGTATTGAATAGTAATTGTATTTGTAATTAATTTTTTTAAAAATCATTTATTAATTTCAGTGGAAGTGAACTGGTTAAATATAAAAGCACAATACTACAAGAAAGCATTAAATCTATACTAGATGTTTTTAGACCAATGGTTTACTATGAGTCATACCTTAGGCCAGATTGTAAAGATATATTAAATAAATTCGATAAATGGTCACTAAGCAAGGACATTATTGACTCAAATATTAGTGCATTTAATAAATTCATAGCTCAACACAATTCCGAAGATTTGGTTTTTAAAAACATAATAATACATAAATTAAAAATGGACAAGATAAGCAATGTAAGTCCAGTCTCTCCACATCATCAAAATATAAAACCCGCAGCAAATACAGGTAATCTAATATAATTTGTAATTGAGCAAGAATATATAATTATGTTTACAATGAATAGGTGCCAACCCTAAGAGGGTGTCGAGTAGTATATCACGTAATACTGAGTCTAATGTCTCGACCGGAAGTATACGTAGTATTCGCGAGAAGTTTGAAAAGTTGTCCCAAAATAGCAAAACTGAGAAATAAAACATCAAAATTTTCTCGAATTAAATGTTATTTAATATATTATTAATTTTATACAGTAGTGTTATTTTCTGATGATAAACTAATCTGTAATTTTTAAATATTTAAAAAAAATCATATTAATACCACTTTATTTTCATTATGATTTATAAGGAAAAACATTTAACACTTATTAGGTGTTTATTGTTTCATATATTCATTGTTTGCCAAATAAGGCACGAATAGACAGACAAAAGTCAAAATGATTACAACACATAATAATTGAACATTTTTCAAACAAATAAAAATGAGTTGTAATAAAATTATTTTAAATATATTTATATTGATAAACTGTGTAATAAATGTTCAAAATATTTTGTAGAATTAAATATTGTCATTAAAATAAAATTTTATATTATACAATATTTAATTTTAATGACATGCATTATTTAATTAAATAAAATGTCATATAATACCTCATTATAAACCTCATTACAATATTACCAGTACAGTATTACTTTTATATTGTATATTTACCTATAGTGCTATTTTTGCAATATAATGCTTTTTATTTCTAAAACTTTTAAAATTATTATTTAATAAAAATTTCTCTCTATAAGTATTGTATTGTATTAATCAAATTTATTATTATAATATTTTAATGAACAATTAATTTACCATTTTGTATAACATAAATAATTAATTTAAAATTTAAATATATAGATTAATTATAATAACTTTATTTATTAAGGACCATGTTTATCAAGTTAATTTTAGGTTATTATTACTTTCTCACAATTATTTGTCACAAAATCGGTGGCAAAACAATTGCCGCCAAATGTGATCATATTTATGGCGGACGACATGGGATGGGCTGACGTGGGCCACCACTCGGACCACATCCTGACCCAAACATCGACACATTGGCCGCCGATGGCGTCGTATTAAACAATTTCTACGTACAACCCGTTTCCAACCCGAGTAGCGGTGCCCTACTCACCGGTAGACATCCCATGCATTTGGGCTTTCAAAATATAGCACTATTGCCTTTTATGGCCACTGGTTTTCCCCTACACTTTAAATTATTACCACAATATCTGAAGCATTATAATTACGCCACACATATAGTGGGTATGGTAGCAATTTTAATAATGCTAATATTTAATTAATTAATATTTTTGTAATATTGTATATTTATTAAATATACAGAAAATGTATTTATAAGAATGGTAATTTTAATTATAGTTACTATGATAGTATACAAAAGAAAACAAAACTATTTAAACAATTTTCTACTTGGTAAGGCAAATGGCATTTAGGTTTTATGAACCGTGAATACACGCCTACATACCGAGGCTTTGACTCGCACGTGGGTTATTGGACTAACAGGCAGTTCTATTTCAATCATACCAATTGTGACCCATATGACAGAGTCGGGTAGGCTGCTCACGATTTAATCACTTATAGAATTAAATTATCCTGGTCATTCTAGTTGTGGCTATGACTTCCGACATAACATGGATGTCATTACAAACGCGTCGGGAGTTTATTCAACACATTATTTCACCGACAGATGCCTTCATATCATCGGTTAGTAAGGATTGAAATCATTGATTGTATAGTCGAGTGTATATTTTGTAGACCTGGGTTATATATTTAGTAAACTATCATATTTTGTCATTACCTCAGATGAGCACAACACATCTGAGCCACTGTTCCTATATATGCCACACCAGGCCATACACGTGTCGGCTAATAAGTTGCCGGTGGAGGCGCCCCAGGAGTACATCGATATGTTTGCGTACATCGAGTCCGATATGAGGCGAGGGTTGGCCGCCGCGGCCTACAGTATGGACGAGTCGATCGGTGCGGTTGTCGAGCGCCTACACTCGAGACAAATGTTGGAAAACAGTATTATTATATTTATGAGCGATAATGGGGGCACCACTGGCACTCATTTCGGTAATTGAATTTTTTAAATTACCGGGGAATATATTACATGGATTATTATTTTATAGCAAACGGTGGATCTAATTGGCCGCTAAGGGGAATGAAAATGGAATATTATGAGGGAGGTATATTGTATTACCTGTCATTACAATTAAAGATATTTCAAAATTAAAACTAGTATTGACAATAATTATAAACTTTGTGTAATACATTTTCACTGTGTGTTAGGTATAAGAGTTCCGGCGTTCATATGGAGTCCATTGTTGAACAAAAGTGGTTACGTGTCGGACGCTATGATTCACGTGACAGACATATTGCCCACCATTTTAGATGCCGTCCATAACAGCACCGGCATATTGAATGAGCAATTTATTTACGGTATGTTAATATATAACTTAGTAATTAATTAAACAAGCATGTGACTTGTTAAGTTGGTACAGGGAACATAAGAAATAACATTAAAATGTCCTACTTATTGATTTATTAATTAATATTAAATGATATAATATTTGAAATAGATACAGTCAGTTTGAAATATGTTTGTGAAAATGTGAAAGTTTCACTTAACTGGAACAATAAAATTAGTTATTATTCATAACTTATTAAAATGCTTAAATATTTTTAAGGTAAATCTCAATGGAATACACTATCAAA